GGAAAATCGCGCGCGTGCCGACACCAGGGAAGGATGCCATCCTCGGCCCTCGGATCTGCAATTGGAACACTTGCAACATCGCGAGAATTCACGACCAGAGCCTTGACCCCAGCATCCTGCGTCATTGTTCTAGCCAGATCGATCTATGAGGGTCCCAGAGCCCGAAACTGGGCGAAAACAACCGCTGCACAAAAAATAAAAAAATGCAACGCCAGGATCTGAATGCATTGGGACAAATCCCCTTGGGCAGGGAGAGGATGGCCTCAGACCTCCTCGTGTCATGGAAGCAAAAGCGCCACAAAAGGCTTCTGACAGTCTCCCGCCTTTTTTGCGGGGTTGGTTCCCGCAACGGGCGCGCGAACCACATTGTCATTGTGTATGGCCGCGCGCCCACCCCACAACAAAAAATTGTGGTTTCCGCCCTTCGACGTGCAGCCGCGCGCACCCCCAACATAACTAGACGACGACGGCTGCGATCCCCTGGCGCATGCGAAGATGCGAACAATTATTGCGCGCGGTAGCAGGGCCCCTGCAAGCATTGACACGCACAAAAACATTCCAGGACCTTTACTGCATGATGAGGAGTGCGCTACCCCCAAACCATCCCGTAGACACAAAGGACCGAATCAAACATGCATTCGTTCTTAAGGCTCTGTGCCACCCACGGCTTGTGCGATAGCTCTCCACACCTGCACGGGAACACTAACACTTGGCATGCGCACGCTCGGCCAACGCTGGCATTTGCAAATACTGCTGCAACAAACTCCAAGTTACGACAATCGTGGATCAACCATCCCTGCCACACGCATGACTTGACTTGAGGATGCATGCGCTCTAACGGCACTTCAAACCATGATGCGTGCAAATATGCCTTAAGAACACCAGACCTTCAGGAGCTCTGCCGGCGGCGGCTACCTAACGAACCTACGAAGAGAAAACAAGTGTTCACGGGGCTCCACTACCCCCTGGCGCACGCAAAGACGCCCAAAGAAAATACCCGTGCAACAGGGGCTCTGCTACCCCTGGCGCGCGCAGAGACTCCAGCAGAGTAGCGCTCCTGCGCCCGATATACCAAACAAAAGCGTCGCCTCCGTGTGCGACGTAGTTAACTGACGGCTGGCGCCATGCCAATTTGTCCGCCGCCCCACAGGAACATTTGCGGACTTTGTCCATCCCACCAAAGGCTCCACGCTTCACCTCCTCGCTATCACAAAAACATGCATCCCCAAAACACCCCCAGAACTCTCAACTGAAACATGCGGGCCTGCGTTGCCGAGATGTGAACTCAATCATGCCGCCGCCGCCCACCCCGGATCATGGCTCTCGCGTTGACGCTGGCCTCGCGCCGTGCGCAACGCGGACGGACCATGCGCCGTTCTTGTTAAGTCGCTACCTTGTTTCGCGAGCGCGCGCGTCATTCCCCCCGCGCGCGTGCCAGCAGCGCGCGCCGGGCTCGCCCGCGCCGCTGGCACGCGCGCGGGGGGGCGCGCGCGCGCCTGCCCCTGCGCGCGCAGCGGAGGCGCGCGCGCGCATCGCCAGCGCGCGCCAGACCCGCTGCGTGCCATGCGCGCGCGCGAAAGCATCGGTGCCATCGCGGGCGCGAGCCTGCTGGGCACGCGGAGCGCGCGGAGACGGATTGCTCGACCAGACCGCGCGACCGATGCTGCCCCGCGCCCGGCATGCCCGAGTTCGCCATGCGGAAGGCGCTTCCGCTTTTTCTGTTTGCGCGTCCTCCAAAAACATGTTCGTCGTCGCCACTCCGGAGTTTGGCGCGGCTCTGCGCCGCCAGCGGATTATGAGGTCCGCCTCCTTGTCGTTGGCAGTTGTTTTCTATGGTCTTCGTGTGTCCTCGGCATCTTGTGTTGTGTCGTCGGCCTTATATTGTTTTGTCGTCGGCCCTCATGATTGTCGTCGGGTTGGTTTTGCTTTTGTCGTCTGTTCTTTATGGTGTCCTTCACGGTCATGATCAAAGTGTTACTCGGGCTCTTCAACATGGTTGAAGTCCTTCGTGGCCATATCCGTCTTCCATACCTTTCTCTTTTCCCTCGTCCCCATCACCCCGTCCAGAAACGATGCTACAGCGTTGCTCATGGAAGATCGATTTGGTCCTCGCCCACCCCCTTCAGACCGCGCACAGTCGCTGGGGGGGCTGAGCGCTAAGAGCGTTCGAGACGCGTGACGGGCGACGCGGTGTCAATCATAAAAACACATGTATGTGATCCTTTGTTGTCTTTTGTCGTTTTGTGATGCCATCAAATTGTAGCAGATGGTACGCTGCCTCGTCGACTGCAGCAGCTGGCATGCCATTGCCAAGTCGCTCGTCCCAGGCCAGTGACGACCGTGAACCCGGCAGCACAAGACCTGGCGGCACATCGGGTTTCATCACAGCCCCCGCCTCGAGCTGCACTCCCGCCGCTCCCCCGAGCGGCGTCGCGGCGGCGACGCCACTCGGGCCGACCGCCGCAAACACCACCCTCCTCCTGTGCCCTCCTACCCTTCCCTGCCTAAGGCCTCCGGGGGGTCTCTTCGGACGTCCCGAGAGGACACTGCAGCGCCGGAAGGGATAGAAGCTGGACCCTGGGGCAACCAAAAAGTACCGATGCCATTACTCCCCGGGCCTCTCCCGGGGTGCGTTCTGACTAAAATTTCAAGGCAAATCCAGCGGTGGCGACGAGGGCTTCCGAGGAGGCCCACAAAGGGGAAAACGAGAAAAGGGTAGAGGAATAGACACCTTTTCCTCCTCTGAGATCCGGGATCCTCTATCCCTCCTCCCGCTCTCGAATGCAGTCCACGCGTTTCGAAGTAATGTCAAATCTTTATCTTAACACGCGGGGCTCTCGTCCGAATGGCGGGCCCGTAAGGGGGCGTTCGCCATTCCAATATGGGACGGATGCTTCCCGCAGAAGCCTGCGAGGAGGGGGCCTGGGACGGAATGGCGCGTTTAGAAGGAGAAGAAGAAGACCAACAACAACAACAACAACAACAACAACAACAACAACAACAACAACAATTACTAGCACGTGGGGACACTCCGTACTCACCAGTGCCAGGGTTATCATAGGAGGCGGGCAATACCCCCACTTTGTGGGGGGGCCGGTTCAAGCTCTACCAAATTTCCAAACGACTCTTCGCCACCACCAACACCCAGCTTCCCGCCCTATGACGTTCGGACACTTCACTTCGTAGCATGCGGACGACCGTGGCTACTATTCAGGGCCCCGCGGCCGACGACGACGGCGTGCGCGCGCGAAGAAAAAACGAATGTGTCCCGCATGGTATTATTTGACAGGGATGATGGCCCTGGCAGGAGCGCAACCGTTGTTGCAGAAGTTCGAAAAAGTTGCTCGCAAAAGCCCGTTTGACAGAAATGTTTAAAAAGTGTTGGGTTTTCCTACGAATCCGCAAGAGCGCGCGGGATGAGATTTTGACATTTTTTTGTTGAAAAACCATTGGTTTTTTGATGTTTTATGTTAAAATCGCTCCGAACACTAAGCTTTTGGAAGGATTTCGTCTTGCGCGCGCGAATGTCCACTTTACCTTATTTTTTGCAAGGGATTCTTGAAGTTTGGTTATGTTAGAACAAGAAATGTCCACTTTAGCTTATTATTTGCAAGGGAAAACCGATCGTAACAACACAACGATTGGATCAATAAACAAATTCAGGCTGCTCTTGGTTAACTCCTAGGCGCGGCGAGGGGGCCGTGCACCAGGGGTCCCAACAATAATTATTCTTAAGAAGAAATAGTGTTCAACAACAACAACAACAACACGTAAACATAAACTTTTGGCGCTCCGCGCGGATTTCTCGGATTCGCGCTGGATCCCCCTCCCTGGCGCGCGGAGCGCGCCAAGGGCGGCGCCGGAGGCGCCGCCGGAGGGCCCAGGCGCGGATCCAAGAAATCCGCGCGGAGCGACAAAAGTTTATGGTTATGTGTTTTTGTTTCTTCTTCGAGTGTTGCAGCATCGTTGCTTCTCCCCGTCGTTGCGGGCGGTCGCTGAGCGCGGCACCCCGCAACGCCGGGGATGGCCAGGAGACGGCGGCAAGCCGCGCCCGCTTCTGCACTCTGCCTGCCTCTGCTGCCGCTCGTCGTCCTGCTCTCCCCCTCCCCCGCTGCTGCTCCCCTTCTTTAACTCGGCCACCGGGCGCTCGCTCGAGCTCGTGTGAAAGAGTGTTGCATCCTCCATCGCTGGGTCCTCCTCAGGGGGCAGGATGGCCACCCCGATTATAACATCGCCCCGACACGCGAAGCTATTCGGCAAACGCGCCCAAAAAGATAGAATCCAGCGGGGCAGGGCTGTCTGAGTGAACGCCCAGGGCCGCTTTGAAAAAAACGCCAGTTGTCCGGTCTGGGTGGTTTTTCCTCCCTTGTGCGGGTAATATCTATATCCATATCCAGTGCGTTTGGAACTCTCGTGGAAGTGGCGCCACAATGCCGAGGCGCTCTGGATATGGGTACGAATCGAGCCTCTGGGGGCCAAATCTATCCACATCCAGTGCGCCTCGGCTTTCTGTGGGAGGGAGCCCGAAACTCATGCTGCAGTGGATATGGACAGAAGTATTGCCCGCGCCTTTCGGGAGTGGCCAAGAGGGGGGCGTCCAAGAGGGGGGGGGCACATCATGACCGGCGGCATGTTCGCGGCCCAGGAGGGGGGGGGGCTGGGGACGTAATGAAATGAGAAGAGTCGCCATGAAATCTGGGGAAATATCATGGCCAACGCCATGATAGCCACCCACCCCCGTAGTCACCACCCTCCTCTTTGCCAGCCCCCGAACCTCGACTGCCAGGCCTCGGAACAAATTAGCGAACACTCATGCCAAATTCATCTGTCAACGCCTCCCCCCTCCCCCCAATGTTCAAAGTTGGCAGTGGGTCTGATGAGATGCACTTCGACCGCAGTGTTTTCCGCGCGTGCCAACATTGAGTTGGGGGGAGGGGGAGTGTTCAGTAATTGTTTCCCTCTACCGGCTCCCCCCTCCCCGACGGAGCCCCCAGCGGGGCCGACCAGGACGTAGCAGAAGTTGTCCGTCATGCACGGCACCGCCTGGGCCCGCCGCTCGCGCGCGCGCGCCCCGCGCGGGGGCGGCGGGCGGGCCCTCTGGGAGCCTGGGGGGGGGAAGGAGGGGGGGGAGGGGGCTTTTTTGACTATACTTAGCTCGCTGCAAGTTAGCTTGAGCGCAGCGGCCAACAGGACTGGCACAGGCTGCACACGACAAGCCCGAGAGCATGGACGCTGAGCTGCTTCCGCTCTCGTCCCGAAAACTGTCAGGAGAGAGGTATTGGCGCTGAGGGAGGAGAGGAGAGGTATCATTACGAATGAGGAGGAGATTGCAGCGCCGTGCGAAGAGAGACATCAGCGGCACCCTGCTTCGTTGCCCATAGAAGGGCAGCCCTCGATGCAGAGAGCAGTGCGAGGCAGGAAAAAGAAAAGACCTGCCTGGGAGTGCCTTCCGAATTTCGGACTGCTATTAAGAGGGAAAAGCTGGACGGAGGGCCAAAATGGCCAGGCCGCATTGCGGCTGTCCAAACCTCCAGGGGAGGAGATCTGGACTGAAGGAGGAGCGAGGGAAGTCATAAGAGGCGGGAGGGGAAGAAGGGCCGGAATGGCATGGCCGTGTTGCAGGGCGTACGCTGCAGCTGAGAGGCCTGTACGGGCCGACCGCGGCGGGGAGGTGGGTGTGCCTGGGCGCTAGCCGAGACCAGACAGCAGAGACCCACCTCCGTGTGGCCCCTCACAGGCACACAGGGACCAAGGGGACCCTGCTACACCTGGACGAGGGCCAGAGAGACAAGCCAAGGCCAGTGCCGCGTTCCTCCCACGAGGCACATATGTTTGCCGCGGCCTTGCCTCAGCCGCACAGCCAAGACGCACTGGGGCATGGTGCCTGTCTGCATATATGGCACCTTCGCTGGCCGCCTTAGCCGAGAGTTACTCGGCGGGGCTGTGCTGTAGCATCGTCTACTGGCTAGGACTGTCTAGGTATTGAGCTGCCAAGGTGAACCAAGAGTATTAGGGCAGCTCGCCACCTAGGAGACTCAGCCGTGGCGAGTCTGCGAATTGCTGCGTGAGCAAGCCGATCGCTGTATAGCGAGGCTGCTAAGAAGTGCCGCGTTGGCCCCACTCATGCGGCAAGGTGAAAGGTCGAGCCCCTGATTGGCAACGACTCTTGCACAGGCCTTCCAAGGGGGGCCGGTAAAAAGCAGAGTGACTAGGTGGGCTGCCGAGGTATGTATTAGGCTGGCCCCGCCCCTGTGTGGCGCATTGTCGGTTGCATCATGGGCGCCCATCCCATATTGCCTGAGATGGTGCCGACTGGATGCCGCACGGTTAAAGGCCTTACGGGCGCTGAAAGAGTTGCAGCTGCTGCTGAAAGGCCTGTGCGGGCCGTCCGCGACGGGGAGGTGGGTGTGCCTGGGCGCTAGCCGAGACCAGACAACAGAGACCCACCTCCGTGTGGCCTCTCACGGGCACACAGGGACCAAGGGGACCCTGCTACACCTGGACGGGGGCCAAAGAGATGCGTCGGTCTCATGAGGCACTTGTGGCTAGGACTGTCTAGGTAGTGAGCTGCCAGGGCGAACCAAGAGTACTAGGCCAGCCCATCCCCTAGAGACTCCGCCGTGACGAGTCTGCGAATTGCTGTGTGAGCCTAGCTGATCGCTGTTTAGCGAGGCTGTTAAAATGTGCTGCGCTGGCTGCACTAGTGCAGCAAAGTGAGAAGTCGCGCCCATGAGTGGCGACTACTCCTGGATAGGGCCCTCTAAAAGAGGGGCCGGTGGAGAAAAGAGCGCTAGGTGGGCTGCCGAGGTAAGTATTAGGCGGCTCCGCCCCTGTGTGGCACATTTACGGTAGCGCCATGGGCACCCATCCCATATTGGCCTGAGATGGTGTCGACTGGTGCCGCAAGAGCTGCAGTGAGAGTGTGCACCTGAAGGCCTCACTGCAGCGGAATGTATGCCGGCTTGGCCGGCCTTAAATTGGAGACGCGGTGTCTCCTTTATAAGAGTTTGGCTCGATTAAAGAAGGCTTGGGCTGAATAGGTGGTGGGCTGCAGGCAAACCAGGATCGGCGCAGTGTGCTAACCCACCACCTATGCGTGAGGACTCAGCCGTGGCGAGTCTGCGAATTGATATGTGTGGGCGGCGCTCAGCCGCCTCACTGTTAGCGGGGCTGCCAAAGGTTGCAGAGCCGCTCAATGACGGGAAGGGCTGGGTGCTGCTAGACTCGCGTGGCGTACAACTCAGCTATGCAGGACGGCTCAACCGACCTTGAGTTGGAGCGGCATGGCTCCAGCTGTTTAGGTGGTGGGCTGCCGAGGTGGAGATAAGACGCTGAAAGGATGTGGAAAGGAAAGTATTGGGCGAGCCCACCACCTAAGTATGCCCGCTGCTAGTGGCGCCGAGGTCGCTTAGGACGACCTAGAAGGGCGCTGACTGATGCGTCATTAGCGTGGCTCGCTCAGGCGCTGAAGGGCGACGGGTTGAGAGCGCGGGCGGCAGCCGAGAGCGCCGAGAGACCTGCCGCTGTCGCCGCAGCACGCGCCTGGGCCTCTTGCGCGGCAGCCTGCTGCTGGTTGTAGTGGTTCCTCAGCATGGCCTCCACGTCAGAGATGGTCGCCAGGCCTGGGGTCTCGATCCACTCCCAGTCCCAGGTTTCGACGACCTGGCCGTCGATGACGTCCAGCGACTTGAGCTTCCAAACGAACGGGTATAGCATGCCGTTGGGCATCTTCCATTCGCCCGGGTAGGTGGAGGGCCACCACTTTTTGAACTCGCGCGTGGCGGCCGTGTATTGGGAGCCCTGCCAAGCCGAACCAGCATAGGTGTCCCCTGAGAGGCCGAAGAGCTCCCGCGTGTCAGGCGACGCCCTGCTGGCCTCGGCCGCGCCCGCCTCCGCCGCGGCCGCAGCGGAACCACCCGCGGGAGGCATGGGCGCCATGGCGGCGGGGGGCGCGCTGAGAGAAGGGGGGGAGTGCCGAGGAAGCAAAAAGAAATAGCCCATAAGCCAACGGCGGCCAGATGTGAGTGAAACCTAGCTGGCCTGTGCTAGCATCTGTGCGAGGAGGACCCTCCTGACGGGCCGACTGATGCACGCCTGGCCTGGTGCGGAGTCTATAGGGATGAGGATGTTGCCGCTACGCATGTTGACCCGCAGCGCAAGGCCGGTGCGGTATGGTATGCCCGTGCCAAATAGGATGGGCCGTGCATCCATCTCCTGAAGGATGGGGAGGTGAAAAATGCGCGGCCTTTCCACAGAGGATGGCAGCCTGGTCTCCTGCCCATGGAATTGCTCCATTAGGAGCCCTACATTGATGGGCAGTGGGGACCAGAGCGAAATGGGGCCTGTCGTTATCACTACCATCCACTGCACTGCTGTAGGCGGTGGTGGCGCTGCTTCAGTGGGGGCGCAGCGGAAGTCACCGTGCTCGAACTGCGGCAGGTGCTGCGCCTCTGGGGTCGGCATGGCCTGTGGGCTTAGGGTTCGGGGAGGCGGAGGATTCGAGCGAGGTGGGACAACGGGAGGCAGAATGGCCGAACCATGATCATGGCCTGGAAGTCTATAAGGATGGGGCTGCCAGCCGCTGCATCCTGCAAAAGCCTGCGAGGGCTGAGGGAGGCCTGCTCCCAGGCCCCCGATTGAAGTAGGACCAGAAAAAGTTGGTTCGGCACGTAAACTGAAACTAGCCCTATGGTGGGTGAGAAACGGGCATCGTAGGGACCGTCCCCCGCAGCACATTGGGGGTAGATGTGGAGTAGGTTGGGGGAGGTGGCCTCGCGCCAGCGGCCATGCCAGCGCTCGAGTGTGCGATTAACGGCCGTGGGCAAATCTAAGTGAAGCAGAGGGCCCACGAAGGAGCGCGCGTGTGGCCATGCGGGCGGCCCGCTCTCGAGCTGCCATGTGGCTTGCCACTGGGGTACCGCATTATGCTGGTACACCGTGGTGGGAGACAGAATGAGTGCGTGGCGCCTTGCGCCGCCGCTGAGAAAGCGGTAGACTTGCTGGTGAGCCAAAAGAAGCCGCTCAGCTATATGCTTCCATAAAAAGGTCGAGCGAGAGGCTGGATGCGCGATGCTTCGCGGAGCTAATTGTTGCCCGGGGTGCACCTCAGCAGCTGGCACGTCCTCGTCTGCATCGGCGTTGTCCAGGCTACTGGGCTCGCTCCTCATGGCCTGATGGGGATGAGGCAGGAAGGGGAGCTTATAGAGGAAAGAGGGAGAGGTTAGGCTTAGGCTGGGGGCTAGCTGCCTGGCAAGGGTCTAGCGCCTGGCAGCCTCACCTCCTTCATGAGGTTTGCGCGGCCTCCTGGGCGACAGACGCTGACCGCAATGCGAGAGGCTTTCGCCATCTCGCAACTGCATCTTAAGGCGCTCCCTGTGTATCCTGTCGATACGGAGCTGGTCCTGCCTATGCTCTTCTTTGAGCTGAGCAATTTTGTTCTCGTGCTCCTTGAGAAATGCGCTGCGCTGTTCGTCCGCTGCTGCGGCTGACGCAGCTGCAGCTGCGACTGTAGGCGGCAGGCGCGTAGCTACGTGGCCAGAATGGTGAGACTTGCGAGCCTTGTGATGCCTTGTAGGAGGTGAGGCTGGTGACGAGGCCGGGCCGTGGGAATCCTGCGGGCTGCTTTGAGCCTCTACTGGATCCCGGCGCTGTGGCATAGGCTGCTCGTCCGAGGCTGCATCAGACGCTTTGGCAGGCGAGCGTGAGCGCTGTGCTGCATGGGCCGCGCGGTGCGCCTTGGCCTTGCGAGCTCTATGGTGCCTAGGGGGAGGAGAGGCTGGAGGTGTCGGCGTGCCGAGGGACTCCTGCGGGCTGCTATGTGCCTCAGCAGATTCCCTGCGTATTGGCGCAGACTGTTTGAGCGCGCTTTTGCGCGGCTCGTTGCGCAAGCGCGAATTATGGGCCACCTTGGGGGGCTTGGCTGTGAACTCGTCCGCAAATGAGACCTGCTCGCGCTTGCGAGTTGCAGAGGCGCGGGGCGCAACTGACTGTTCCGCCGGCCCTGGAGAGTCGAGCGGAGGAAATGGTGAGGAGGCAGAGGAATA